GAATCCAAATCTCTAATCTTATTTAACAATAACACAGAAAGGGTATTTTACAATTATACCCTTTCGTAATTATTTGAGAAATTCTTATATTAAAACATCTAATATTCTTCACCTCTTTTTTCTTAAGGCCTCAGAACACTTGTTTCAGATTTTTCTATTAGTATCTAACATTCATGATGCAACACCGCACTAAATTACCTATAGATGAGTTATAGATAAAATTAAAACCAAAATGTGATTTAATTTGTTAGAAAACTTCTAATGAACGAATTTTCGATGAAATAATTTAGTATTAGGTATACTTTAGAAACAAAACATAATTCAAAAAGTACAATAATAATATTTTAAATAATTCTTTTCTCATATTACGAGCCGACAGGTATGTATATATTATCAATGTATAATAATATATATTTTCAACCTAATCTTGGGTTATTGAATATGATTAGAGATTTGTATTTTGTGTTTGTCACAGTTAATAGTAACAAAACTATATAGTAAATTGTAACAATTCTCAAATTACTTCACTCGATTTGTTACTAATCTCCATGTAATCCATGTTATACCTAACAAACGTTTTTCGCTTTTTTGTGACAATTAGGCCGCCATGCAAATCAATCACTTCCCTACGGTCGACGTGCTGCTCCCTCAATCACTACTAACTCTAGCATTAACATAATTGCTTGTCTTTCAGTCATTATTACGATGCGTTTTAAACCCTTTTAACAACATTTTATGGCATATTGTGTATATTGGTAGATAAGTTATTAAAGTTTCCAAATCTTCTTCTTCAAGCTTGTAAAGTTATGAATTAAGGAAAAGGACTTTTACAGTTTGTCCATTTTCCTCTGTTTAAGGTGGATAAATTAAACTGATCAAATTCTAAGTTTTAGAATACATCTTATATTTTATTTGAATGGTTACCTTTTTAATTACCGAATGTAATAATTAATTTATTGGACAGAAACAAGATAGGACAGAACGGGAAAAAAGTTCTGAGGATTCATTAATGGACAAAAAAGGAGAAAAAAAGTACAAGTATAAACATAAAGATGGGGGAATGAATTGAGCACTGCCAAACATTTGGGAGTAACGATGGTAGAAGAAAGAAAAATAGATGAAGAATAGACAAAACAAAAATTGGGAATATGGGAATAACATTAGAAGAAGTAGAAGCAATAAAAAGGCTAAAAAAGAAAAAGGCGGTACGAAAAGACAAAATTAAAAACGAGGCATGGTTGTATGAGGAACTAGAAATAAATGGGGACAGTACTACATCAGGTATGAAATGGAGATGAAGAACTTCCGGAAGAATGGAAAACAAGAATAATAATACCAATTTATAAGAAAGGAGATAGAAATAAGGCAGAAAATTACAGACAAATAATACTTATGAGCACAGGTTACAAAATCTACGCTAAAATACATGAGAAAGAATTGGAAGACAAAAAAGTACTAGATGAAACGCAGGTGGGAAAAAAACAAAGGGGCGTTTGTTAAATTCAAAAGAGACATGGTATGAAAAATCTTAGAAAAGACAATAAATTAAGACAGAGGATAAAAGAAACATACGAAGAAACTTACCTCAAGATAGAAGTCAACGAAGAAAAATCCAAAAAAAAAAGTAATGAATGAAGGAATAAAACAAGGTTAAGCACCACACTTATCATTTGCAGAGTTAAAAAACAAATTTAGTGTAGTACAAGGGGATTTTTTTTTTTAATTTTTATACGATTTTATGTAGTAGTCAATATTTCATTATGTCCTTAAAATTTAATATTATTAGCTATTTTAGTTTTTGAGATATTGNGTTTAGGTCTTTTATTTATCGATTGAGGCAGTACGAAGTCTTCCGGGTATATTTTATGTACAATTTAATCTAACCTAATCTTTAAAAAACAAAAATAACATAAAATTAAGCATATTAGTTGTATGTTATGATGTAATTCATTTTATTTTTATATGTTGCTTTGTCGTGTTTCGAGCTAGAAGGTAATCAAAAAGAAATTTTGTTCTATTTAACTGTTAGTCTTATAATGGATAGGTACCTACCTACACAGCCGTCTCTACTTGCAAGTCGTGCTGAAGGTTTACCTGGCAACACTATGAGAATCCTAGGATTTCCTAGTTAATGAGAGTTATAGCTAACACATTGGTTGTTGTGTTTCTTTGTTTAATAATATTTTAATTTTAGTGGAAATATCGTGTTTTAGTGATTAATACCTTTGGATACAGTTTTAATTGCAGTGAAAGAAGTGAAAGTGTTTTAGGTCAGATTGTGTGTTTTGATTGTAATTTTCTTGTTTATTTTAACAAAATGTTTTGTCGTTGTTATATTCTCGGTTACAATTCAAATTATAAATTATCTTTAAAATTTGGTAAGTATGAGTACATTTTTATTCCCAAAAAATGATGATATACGAAAAAATGGATAAGTTTGCATAAATCACTATAACGTAACAGTAAAAAAGTATCCACTGCCGGTAGTTTTGAATGTGCCTTTAACATATCCAAAATTGCGAGACAATGATGAAACAGAAATTTACACTGTTAAAAATTCTGCCTTAGACATATGGAACCATAAGTAGGTTTATTGAAATTTAAATTCCGATAAATGGGTTCAAAGTCCTTGGATTGAATTAATAATTCATTCTTTTGTTAATTTTTTCAAAAGTTTGATTTGATGTTGGTTATATTAAAAATGATTTAAATGGAAATAATACTAATTTTGGAACTGCTGTTTTAATTGAATAATTCCTAGAGGTAAAATTGCAAAATATGTAACGCCACACTAGAGAGGGGGGAGGGGTCTCACAAATTCAGTGTATATACCTACAGTTTTTTATTTTGTCGAAGAGAACGAAAACTTTTATGTTAAGAACTATCAGAGACTTTTTATTATTTTAAGTCAAAAAGAGGTTTTCGTTTATTAACTAACTTAAGTAACTAATAAATAAATGTTCCATAAATCACTTGCTTATAGTCTATGTTGCCACCATCCCTCTTCCTTCTTACATCGATTCCTACCCCTAGGTTCGTTTTATTTATTGACCGCCAGTGCATGAAACAAAAACCAACTGCAGATGAAGTATCTCCTTTACTTTTAGTTTTTATTTCCGATGATTCTATTCTATTATCACTATGCATGCGTAACGAAGATAGAACATTACACAGGGCATAACAGTGTATCTAAATCGGATTATGATTCTTTTACACATAGAGCCAACTGTTAATCAAAAAATAACTTCAAATGTTTTTTGCTATTTTAAATTAGGTTAGGAGAGACCAAGGTGAAAGTAACAATTTCCAGTTTTGAGTCCATATCTTTCATGTATTTTAAGTTATTAAAAATATCATAGTTTTTGACGTAAAGAGTTTTGCTAAAAAGATAGCATTTTTTGACCAAAACCAAATTATTTAGGAATCGGGAGTTGTCCCTACCCTTACACAGATTATAGATACTACTGTACTACATTTTTATGTCACTTTTCTGTCATGTACTTAGATCAAGTAGGTATGTTTACATTTCAATAAAGTTAATTTTTGTTCGGTTAAGAGTTTTTAATTATTTTTTAAGCGTTACGGCCACATGGAGGGAGTAGACGGTATATTGCGTGATGAGAGGTCGCAGTGGCGGAGGGAGAGAAAGGTTGGCAGCGGTGGAGAGAGGGCAACGGCTGTATTAGATGGATATAATGGGAGTCCGCTAGAGTCCTGGCGGCGTGTGCTGTGCTCAGCTGTTGTTTTCTTACCTCTGCTCTTCACGTGGCAGAGCATCATTGCCTCTATTTACGGTTTGTGTAAAAACCAAATCATAATTTGCAGTAAACCTGTGAAAACGAAATGTGTGCTGGGACACAGTAGCAGTGAAACTTCAACGGACAAGTGGAAAAACGAATCGCAACAAATTTTTTACGCGATGTTTTATAGGCAAGTTTTCAAAATGGACAAGTACATTAACAAACAAACAAAGTAAAGATTTTGTTGTGATTCGTTTTTCCACTTGTCCGTTACTATTCGTTTTTCTACTTCTACTATATGTCCCAGCACACATTTCGTTTTTAATTTCTTTCTCGAATCCATGAACATCTCTCCCACATGGTTTTTATAATAACAATTGGGTAATGTTTATAACGTAGTTGACAATAAAAAAAATACTAATTTTTGGCACTAAACATAAGGACAAATGTGTGAGAATGAGAATTCATGTTAGATCAATCAGTATAACTAACATAGACTCGAAAACCACTACAAGGAATGGTTTCAAGATAATTATGAAGATTAATTTCCAAAAGACGTAATATACTTTCAGCTTCTTGTAGTTTTAAAATACAAATGAAGGGATTGTTCAAAATATTTCTTACTTGTAAAAACAGAACATGCAATACCGTTAATTTCTTTTTCATCTTTTTGGAATATTTCAAAGCTTGAGAACAAAATAACAACAGGTCAGGCATCTATCAGCCTATTCGATAAGAACCTAAACAGATTTTCATCAGCGCACTTCAACCCTGTCTTCTCGGTGATATTGCTCCAGTTATGTCACTACTTACGATGTATCCCAAAATCAAAGACAAAACATATACTCATTAATTAATGCCCAAAGTATAATTAATTCATTTACTTTTTCATTTCTAACGAAATTATAGAGGATAGAAAAAAAATATAATGCACAATAACTAATTGGGAAGACTTAAATATATGTATGTAGGTAACTAACACATTTTTATACAAAGTTGAATTAAGAAAGAAGAATAAAAATTTTATTTTCAAATAGACTCCATTTACTTACAATGTATTCACATTTATATATAGGGGTGTTACTTTTAATTTTTTAAAAGTGCAAAAATGCATGTATACTCATATACGTATGTATACATTAATTAAAACATAGTACCGTTTCAAATGTCAGGAAGGATTATAAAGATATTTATATTCACGATCTAGTGCTGGGACTTAATTTAAAAATATTCTACGTGAAGTAAAAAAATAGTAACAAATATATACAAAAGATATAAACACTTAAAAAAAATCAGTACATAGCATACATTACATATAAATAGAACAGAATAACAAATTGAAACTCGTTTTCCACTATTTCAATATTCAATACACAAAGAACAATTTAAAATATATATTACTGATTTTCGTTTTCCTCTGGGTCTTCTTCACCCATTTCTTCTTTTGGTCTGGTCCATTTAATAAGAGTTTCTGGAGATCGAAATAGAAATACGAGTTTTGCAAATAGATCTTCTTCAAGAGCNTGTTATCAAAGTTGACACAGCACAACTTTTTTTTTTATAACTTTAGGCAAAACCTCTTATTTTACATTTTGTTACAGGGAGCGTCATATGAGCAATCTATTTCAATATTCAATACACAAAGAACAATTTAAAATATATATTACTGATTTTCGTTTTCCTCTGGGTCTTCTTCACCCATTTCTTCTTTTGGTCTGGTCCATTTAATAAGAGTTTCTGGAGATCGAAATAGAAATACGAGTTTTGCAAATAGATCTTCTTCAAGAGCAAATTCTCTAGCTTCGCGAACTAAATAAATGTCATAACACAATTGTAATATTCTGTCCACATTAGGTAAATCTTCAAACATTATCTTGAAGCATATTTCACTAAAGAATCCTCTTAATAAGCGCCCTGCTACCAACACTAAACTGGCATAAAGTCCGATAATTCTAAAATGCAAAACAAATATTGCAAAGAAAACTATTTAACTAGAAAAAAAGATACTACACACAACATTCTATTGCATCAATAAACGATAAATTTAAATTTCTATTAAAGAAATTTATCATAAAGCGAATTTAGGAAATGATGACGTATGCTGCCTATGTTTAAAAAATATAAAATCGGACCAAAGGCAATTATTTCAGGACTATTCTGAAAGAAAAATTTTTGAAAAACTACTACAAATTCAAACTAAAATGTAAAGAGCATATATGTATAATAAATAATAAGATCAATATACAATAATAATCATAGAATTTTACTGAAAAACTAGACTGACTAAATTTAGTTTGCGATAGACTGATAAACACTGTTGAGATGTGTATATGCATACGTGTTCAGCCAATGACAACAAGTCCGTAGAGAGTATCACCAATAATATAAATGGAATAAAATGAGTGTATTTATGTATCAACAAAAGTAGTCTAAATAGTTGTATCTTTTTAGGTATTTTTAATGAAAATGTTTTCAAAAAGTACTTACCCGCCACCAGTTAAGAAGTTCAATTTTGAAGGAAATATTCTGTCATTAAATGTGTACATCATTAATGACTTATCATCCGCAAAAGGAATTTTTGAAAGGAAATCTAGATAATTGTGATCAGTGGTTATTTCTCTTAATTCCCACCACTCTTTTGTTGGCTGCTCAACGGTTGCATTTGAATGGGAAAGTTTTATGGTAACACTTCTTAAAGTTTTTGCTTCTAACTCTAAAAGAACCAACAATGAAATACTAGAGAAACATGCAAAAACTAACAACATACCAGTGCTATTGGCTTCCATAAATAAATTTAACACTTTCGAGGTTCCCCTATTGGTAACTTTTAAAAACTTTGGCATTATGTATTTCAATAGGACTGGGGAAGCAGAGTGAGAACCTTCTAACATTTCTAAAAGATTCGAACGAGAGGTTGTGTTCGGTTCAAGACTAATTATTATGTTTTCTCTTATTACTCCTGAATCTTCTTTTGTAGTGGTTTTGTGTGAAATTTGGTATTCAAATTGAATGTTAATTGGAAGTTCTACAATAGAACATAATTTTGTTAATATTTCTAATGTAAGTAAGCAAAAAGAATAGTACCACCTGATTTAACTTCTTCTAGCATTTGTTCTTTATCCGGCGGAGAAATGCCCCAAACGGTTGCAGAATTTGGGTTTAGCTGAATTGCTGCTATATCTGCCGCTTCATAATTAGAAATGAAATTAGAAGCTCCTTTATTTCTCGCATATAATCTTATAAATGTTTTTAAATGATCTTCTTTAAAACTAAAAAATTATACATAAATACATCTTATTGTAATTGATAGAAAACCTCCTTACGAAAAAATGGCATTTGATTGTGCAGACATTTGATAAATTGACTGGTACTGCCCAATTCTCAAATTTACTGTTACATCATATGGAACGTTCGGCTCACCTACAGCGTTTCCTAGTGAGAAGAAAACTAAAGGAAACCAAATTATTCCTATCATAACGATTAAAATAATTGTTCCCATGATATATTTAACGAAACTTTTCTTTTTCTCTCCTCGAGGCTGAGGATACTCATTTTCTACATGACGACTACACTAAAATTGACAAAAGTCTTTATGAAAACAGTATTAGTTTTTGGTTAGTAATTTATAGAAACTACCAGACATGGGTTGCAATTTCGAACAAGGTGTAACCGAAATAAACGCCGAGGTTTTGAGGGTGTAAAATAGATGCAATAAATAATAGCACGGTGATTTCAGCAATGTGGTTAAGGGCAATTTTTATTTTAAGAAAATAACAATAATTTACAATCCAAAGCCGGTCCTGTGTGTGAATTGACAACATATGTGTCTACCGAATAGGTTGGTGCGATAAAAACTCTGCAGCCACATGGATTAAGAATGTAAACATTGTTGATTATCGAACGTCTCAGATAATGTTTAAGACTAAATAAATTAAATAAATTTACTCGTAATTTCGACAAATTACTGACAAAGAACTTAATTTACTATTCCTATTAGTTTCATTTACGTGTCTACTACCTATAAGGAGTGTCATCACTATTGAGACCTAGAGTAAGTACGGATTATTTGGACCAAAATATAAATATTGGACCAAACATACCTTAACAAAATGTTGTTTTGTAAAAAGATACAGTGTGTTAATAAAGACATATTATTTTCCTTTTTTAATTGTTATCAAAGTTGACACAGCACAACTTTTTTTTTTATAACTTTAGGCAAAACCTCTTATTTTACATTTTGTTACAGGGAGCGTCATATGAGCAATCGTTGAAGATACTTATTTTATTAAAGCATATTTTGTCCAATATTCATATTTTGGTTAACCTACACATATTCTAAGCCCCAACAGTTATCACTTATCCTGTCTATTAAAAGCTGTATCGTAAATATAGTTAGCCAACTAGGTGCTTTAGTAAGTCCCTTGTCTAACATAATAATATAAGTATGAAATACTTTAGCCAGTAGCAGATATCGGTAGGTGATGATATACCTACTGCGGTATGTTAAGATATAAGTTATAAGAGTATGTGATTCAATGGTAAATATTCTAAAATATTAAACATAAAATAAACAAATAGTTTCGTAAGTTTTTCAAAACATTACAAGATTAATCAGAATATTACAAATATGCTGATATGGTACTTACAAAAAAAAAAACAGTTATTGGAAATACACTTACTTTAAGTTGAAAGATATGAGCAAAAATATCTTCCATTTTTATCCAATCGAATACCGTCATCGAAGTGTCTGTCCACATCCAGTCCATTACAGTCCGTAACTCAAATAAAAATGGAACGAGCATAAATCCTTTAAATAGGAACATATTAACGTAGTTATAACCCTTACACAGAAAATTCCCAAGTATTCTAGATGGATAACCACAACGAATTTGATAGGCTGACAAAAGCAAATAAAAACATTTAACCATGTAGTACATTTGTGGAGCAATGACTGAATTGAATTTCCTGAAAAAAATGCATAAAATATTAGATACTAGATATTGTGAGTTTTGCCGTCCATTACTTTTCAGTAAAATTATTTTCTTTCTGCTTTTTTAAAGAAATACATCTCCGCAACAATTATTTCGTCAAGCCCTGGATTTTCAGTCGGATAGTGTTGATTGTTGGTAATTAAATTATCCGTCTGAAGAGGCTAAATAATTCTTGCGGAGATAATTTTGTGAAAGTTTGTGATTTTCATTTTATATATATTACTGAATATGACATTTCATTAAGTAAAGGTCAAGAAAACCAAGTAACTTTTTACCTTTCAGTCATGAGAGGATACAGGATAAACAGCCAAATGTGAAGTATTAGAACTTGTAAAAATTGAAAAACAATTTTAGCTAAAATACATTTACGCAAATAAATTCCTCTATCAATTATTATAAGCATAAATTGTAAAATTAACATAAGTAGAAATAGTACAGGAACTTTATTATCTTCCAAATAAGCAGATACGCCTTCATCTCCTTGTTGCGTCTAAAAAACAATAACACCGATATTAAATCTTTTTTCTTGAACTAATCAGTACTATATTTACTCCAAATGAAGAATATCCAATTAGGATAACAAAGAAGTTAAAGAAATCACACAAGAACATGTATGAATAAACATCTGCAGCTACTCTTGATGTTGGATCTAGAAGTAATCTGAAGTACTTCTTTATTGAATCTGCATATTCAAATGTACTAAAAAATAATTTTTTAATATTCAAAAAACTGTAAAAATGAGGACAAAATTTACGCTAGTTTAACGGTATCCGCATAATCTTCGCAAATATTTTGCTCGTCGCTTCTTAAAGAAACAATTTTGTCATCATCAGGTAACGATTCAGTGTTTTGTGAATTGCCACTTTTTCCTTTCCAAGACTCAGAAGATAAATTTTCTTCTACTGGCTTCATTGTATCGTTTTCATCCTTTATTAACACCTTTTTTTCTTTTTCAGAAGACTTTTCTAACAATGTTGGAAGTGGGGTTTCTTCATCCTCTTCATTGTCTTCACTTTTTTCTTCTTCAATTAATTTTTGTAATACACCAACTTTCTTGCTTCCTTCTGTGGTTGAAGTAATTTGTTCAGGTGGTTCTGAACTAAAATTGAAAAAATAACAGAACTTACTATTCGCTCCTACCAACTAATACAAGTGAAAGGTCAGTTCTTCCTATGTACACTCTAGTGCAAAGCTCGAGAGTAACGCAAAAGACCCTCTTCAGCCTCCTCTTTAGAAATCGGCTGAAAAGGTAAGTGGTGATTGGAGAGATATAGAGAAGTAAATTACAATCTGTAGAACTAGTATAACATTTACCCAAAAGTACTCTATGTTACTGTGCAGCACTCAATGCAACTAAGGCCGAGAAAAGCAACATACTACCCTTAAAATGACCTAAAACATGTCGCAGTTGTAGGTGAAACGTCGGGAAATAATTTCTAAAAACAATAGTCAAAGAGCCCGAAAACAAATAATAACTGTACTGAGTATGCTAAGTTACATACAATACAATTATCGTGTTCGATAAACATATAAGATGTCTTGTCACAATTTTCAGCAAACAGCAATGGACTAGTGGTATCGGCGGTCAGTTCTATGCTCGACAGAATCTATTATTTTTTTTTTAATTAATGTATATTAACCTTTCACTAATTTCTTTCTTTATATTAAATGTATTAACCAAAGAATGCTTTTGTTTGATTGCTAACGGCAATAAGGTTACCTACGGTTGGAAAAGACAGCACGAACGAAGTGAGTGTTGTTGTTGACAAGTCTTTAACTTTTGTTAGCGATCGTGGCTCATCTTTTAAACATACGAAATCGAAAAATATAGGGCACTATTCCACCACGTTTACGCAAATTTTTGGATTTGGACAAAATTTACCTAAATAAAATATGAAATGCGCTGCGATTGCGCCTTTTGGCGGAGTTTCAAAGTAACGGCCTTGGGTCCCGATATACCTACTTATAATATAAATTTTGAATAATAAAGAAAGAAAAACAGAAAATTTTGTTCTTTTGTATTAATTAAGATAAACAAAAATGTATCACCATCAATTTGTAAAAAATCTTTTTAAAAAATAAACCTTGCGAGTTCCAACAAACCCCTGCTTTTAGCAGTTTGTACAATTTTTTTATTGGAACCTAGGTTACTTTTGAAAAGTACCACCAAAAACCATGTTTTTCTTAACGCCTTTTTTTATTTTTCCCTAATTAATGATTCGATTAGTTTCTCTAGTAGAAATTAACAGCATTAGGCCAGAAAAGAAAGGAGACAACTCTCGGCCAAACTCTTAACCGGTGAGGAGCGTATAATCCGTACAGTATTGCACGGAAAAATTGACCATTTTATCCACTAAAATTACATTGCTCAAATGTGCTGTTATTGGTATCAGGTACTATCGAAAATATCAACGAGATGTTTATTTATATTTGAAGACATATTAAAGGCTTTAACGCTTGTTTTCGACTCGCACGACTATTTATAACTGAACAAAACTTTTGGCAGGTACTGTATGAAAAATAATGTTTAATGAACAAGAGTCGAGAGTATAATGATCTTTTTTCTTTCCTACCTACCCTACCTACGATTTTGCCAGCGCGCATCCAAGACATTGGAAGGGGCACATCGCTAGAGAAAGTAAACGAAGTATAATATGTTATGATTTGACATAAGTTACATTACCTGGCATCTTTTAAATCCGCTGGTACTAATTCATTATTAACGACTTTGTAATTGCCATCGCTGAGTAAAACTGCTGGTACATAGTTTGATTTCCAAAGTCCCAAGCATTTAAGTAAAAACCTTGTAAAGAAACATCAAATAATAAAAACATACTTTAGAATAGACGTAAAAGTATACCTATGAAAAAATATCACAAGTAGCAACCCTAAATCCCAAAGGGCGTAACCATCTCTCCTTTCAATACCTATTATTCTTGGAGGATAAAAAGGGTATGATTTTATTTCTAAATCGTCATTCCAATGAAAAATGTCAAACTGAAATATGCATTTTATCAGAACGACAACCTAAAATAAATAATACCGTTTAAATCTGTAATTTAAACATTGACGCAAAAGATACATACGACTAGATATGCTATCACAGTGACCCAGAAAGTCTTTGCAGGCCTGGGAATATTTAATGTAGCCCACAGAAATACCATTAAAGGCAGTGGCAATGATAAGAATGTTGCCGATTTTATTTGATACAAAAATATCATAAAATAACATAAAATATCGGAATGACTCAAAATTATATACCAAATGGCCAAGCAAAGCCTGATAACAGGAGGCTGGTCTAGCGAAGACATTTCAGTTTTTTCATATTCTTCATAATCGGTAGGAAGGCCTTCATAACTAAAAAACAGTTATGTTTTAGATTAAATATTATTTTTGTAAACTTTTTTTCATTGCGACGTGCTTTTTTATATTACATATGCAATAACATACAGACATAAAATACTAACTACAATAATATAAAGTATAAAAACTAAATTCATGAAAAGCTAATTAAAATAAAGAAAAAACAATACCATCATGATATAATAAATAATATCAAGAAGAATTGTAGAGAAGTTTATTACTTTCAATTGTGTTTTGATTTAGTCAAAAGTTAGATCAACAGTGAAAAATATTAGTACTGTAGTCAGAAAACTATGAAGCGTAGAAGAGCTATACATATTTTTTTTTTGAAATATTGACTTCCAACTCGAAACATTTCGAGTTGTGTATTGAGTTACCCATTAGTATAAGAACATAGGCTTTCACGGTCGGAATCAATGGTAGAATTATTATTCAAATTAAAGGACCGTGGTATAAATAAACTGTTAGGCCCAGACGTTTCGTTGGCAACTCATATTTACAGTATCTCGAGTTGCAAGTAGAAATTTCAAGAAAAAATATGTTCGATCCTTCTTCGCCTTCATAGAAAACTCATAAATTTATTTTTGACAGATGAAAAAAATATTTGAGCTTGCTAACAAAGCATAGGTTCCAAATGGGCTGTATCAAAACGTGATTTTTGTTAAATAAATGACACAAAATCTAGTAACTGATATATTCGCAAAATATTTGAGCCGAAGAATTGTTCAATTAATATAATGACAATTGCATCAACGCCAAAAATGCATATTTTATTTATTTCTTCATATTGCACGTGTATATATTAAATATTATAACATCGTTTTGCCTAATTTTGTCTTATTAAATTCTACCTACTAATTTTATATTTTTGTTTTTACTTTTTCGTGTTTATTTTCCATTTTGTCACCAAACAGCGTATACCTATAGGATTAGTAAGTAATAGAAAGTAAGTGAAAAATTATGTACTTTAGGTACATACTCTTTATTGACGAATGGAATAATAGCAAGCATAGTGAGAAAAATAGAAATTCTTTTTTTATTATTATTGGTCAACAAAAGATTTATTATTAATAATAATTATCTATATTTTTCTTTCGTTCATTAATTGTTTCGTGATAAGTTCAATAATTCATTTTTAATTGTACCTACAATCTCACGAAAATGCTGTTTATTTTAGAATTGTTATCATGATTATTATTATTTGAAGGTTTTGTTAGAATTTTGTTACTGGACAAAATTACTAAATGATTAACTCTTGAAATACTGAACCATCGGTTGCTTCTTAAAGTAAATTATTACTTCTATTTATAGTTTACCTGCAAAATAGAGAACTAAAAACCTATTAATACTTAAACAGATTATTTGAAGTGCTGAAACCATATTAAAATTAAGTAATAGATACTTGTTTTTTGGAAATTATTCGTGCAACACTTAAGCCTTTCATTAGCATGCGGTTGGAAGAATTACCTTCTTTCAGAGGGCGAATCTAATCCCCGTTCTAAACTAGGTGCCAAAATACGAATCTCTGGTACGGTGAGAACACTTGCTTTACGCCTACATTCAATAAATTGTTGCACTAGGATATCTATTTTATTCATATTACTATACAAATAATTCATGCACATTTCCAAGAAAGGAAAAAATCCATATAGCAAATGTAGAATGCATGAACATGAATAATTCATTTAAAAAAATATAAATTGTAATTAAGAAAAATGTTAAGTGCTCCATGCGAGGCATTGTACTGAATACATAGAATGGTTTGATGTTGAAGTACCATTAGAAAATATATACATATAAAAACTACAACTACTCAAAAAACTGTAATTACAAAATGTTTGAAGGTAGTCAGGATTTTCATTAAGTGAATAGTAGCCATGGCAGAATCCAGGGGTCACTACAACCTATAATTCCTATACCTCGGATGTACAACTATCTTTTCACGTGTATGTCAAAAGACAAAGGATGATACAAGTCCAAGCTCTCACGCACCCGATAGCCCTGTATCTACTCTAGAATTAATTTCAATTTAATAAATATCGTACATACCTAATATTTTACTGAAATAAAAAAAAAATAAGTGTGCAAGTCTGCTGTTATCAAAAGTTTTCAGCACATTATCGCTAGACTAGAAAACATTAATTCTTTTCGTGTCCCTTAAATAATGATTCAGTGATATCATCTTTTTATTTTCAAGTAAGATTTTAAATTGCAATAACCATAATCATATACAACAATGTTCTATATTTTACCACAGCATTTTATCGGAGCGATTACGTCAGTGGTGACAACACACATTTTTAAATATAGATATTTACATTCACCACTATCATAAGGTCGTCAGTCCCAGGACTGGTTGGATACGTACCTCCACTCTTTCCTATCCTGAGCTAATCTTCGCATTTCCCTAAAACTAGAACAACCCACATCCTTAACTATTTGCAAACAGTAATCTAACCTAGATCTACCACCCCTCCTAACTCCCGTTTCTGTCTCTAATGTGTCTCTGACTAGACATTCATGCCTGAGAAGGTGTCCTACCAACCTATCTAGCCTATCTTTTATTGACTTCCATAGAGTCCTTCGTTCTCCTATTCTTTCTAATACCTCTTCATTTCTAACCTTTTCTACCCACGTTATCCTCATCATTAAACATTTACATTACCGCGTTTTTAGATTTCTGTAGCGTGGTGGGATAAACGTGTAGTTACATAGAAGCATTTATTTTATGTGGTGCATTCACCCGGTTTTTAAATAATACATAAAACAATTTCGACTAAAATATGTCCAATATTATTAATTGCCTAATGATAATGTAGGGACGTAACTATTCCAATAGTTCATCAAAAACCTAATATTCAAAGAATTTTTTCATATTTGCAACTCGACTACTACCTACACTACAGCCTGCAGCACAATTTGTTTCCACCAAAATACTTTGGTGAAAATGGACATTGTAGACCAACAGTATTAACCATCATCAAAAACGCCACTTTTTTGGGGTTTCGGCAAAAGAGAAAAAAGACAGAGGCTTAATGTTTTGCAAAATTTCATTCGATTTCATTATGCGGTTTAAGGGATTTTTTGCGAATTAAAACAGCAAAAAACCTTTTTTGTCTTATAACCGAAACTACTATAGTACAGCTGGAATAGCTGATGATAACAGTATGAAATATCCTGTCAAACAGATGTCTACCAAAAGTACGAAAATAACTTAATGGGATACTTCCGATGTCCAGAATGCTATTATTTAATTATAATTTGTTTTTTTTTATCGATATTACTCAATTGATATTATTGCTGTAATTTTATTGTTCATTGGTAAAATGATAATTATTATATTACTAATTAATAATTGAAATAATGAGTGTGAAGTTCGTCAGTAAGTTTTAGTTTATTTTTTTCAATTTCTTTGCAACCCATTATTTTTGGTTATAATATTGTTAATAAGTTATTTATACAAAGAAGAGAAATAATAAAAGTTGATGTACTTTGTTATCTATGAATAGTAACGCTTGTCTGTTTCCTTTTTTAACTATGATTCGCATATGTGCATCGAACAAAAATCAGAAGTGCACGGCAAGGTCACATGTGTTAAACTGGCATTTGAAATATGCGCATGTGCAAATCAAAGTGGGCACACCTAAATCCAAGTGCCGTGACGAAAAAGATTGCTTATATTAACTGACAAGCATGCAAGGTTATATCTCGTACTACTAAATATCGAATGATCTCGAAAACTTTTATTATTAGTTCACTTCAAGAGTCAATAAAATAGAAGCGAAATTTCAAAGCTGCCTTATTATTATGCGCAATCGGCTAATAAAAGTAAATACATAAACCATGATTAAGTAGGTAATATACGTCTGATAATGCTCATGATCATGATTTTCGTAAAGTCAAGTTTATAAATAATATTATTTACTGTTATTATTTGTCAAGTATAATATAGGCTTTACAAATGAAAGAAGATTAAACACAACACCTTCATTTCATTTGTTTTTTCTTTTGTTATTAAGTTACCTGACTTATTAACGAAGAAAGTTAAGGAAATATGAAGCAGCATTGACAGTTAACTAATATCTCAGAGGGAGAGAGAGAATTTCTACAAAATGTTTTCAGTTTAACATAACTAAAGCAACATAGCTATTGAATAATTACAACGCGCTTTAACAAAGATTCCTTAAAGTGGGTTTCGTTGAACCTTGACACTGTCATCTCGAATCAGTTATATTTAGCATGATATGGTTGAATCATTTTACTTTATTCAGTCGCTGTTACAAATACTACTTTAGATAGCTCAATAAATGTAATTAGAATGTAATCCAAAATTTGGTCTAAATGCAGGTGCGACAGGATGTCGTGTCTTTTTTATTATTTAATTTAAAGTACCATAACACAAAGGGGATTTGTAAGTGTTCCGTAGCTTTAAACAAGAACAGTTGCGCTAAATCATTCTATGCAGGTTGCATTGATTTATTAACATATTTTGATGAAACACTGAATTATTTAAATTATTTTTTTGGTAAGTTTTAGAAACGGATATGGTAATTTGTGATAAATATACCAGATAACCCTTCCAATCCGAAGATTTTACCACTAATTTACAATACACTAAAGCAAATTAATTATTTGAATTAATTTTTACCATTACCGATAATAACCTCAAATTAATGAGGAAAAATTGTTGCTGCTGTCACGCCCTCGCCGGGAATGGAACGTGGGTCTTACGTACCGTTGTTCTACCGTCAAGCTACGAGAGGTAACAGTAGCAACAAAGGCGCTACGTACCTAACTACGTAGGTCACAAAATCGTAGAATCAAGATATAATCATTTTTAACAATTAGACATTTAGAAGAATTTTTGTAGGGTTAATTCCAATACATGAAAATGGATTAATTTTTACCACTATCGGTAACCTCAAATTAATGAGAAAGAATTGTTGCTGCTGTCACGCCCTCGCCGGGAATTGAACTCGGGTCCTTAGCTTTAAGCAGCATTGCTCAATCACAATGCTACGAAAAAAAAATTAATTCACTTTAATGTATTGAAATTAAACCTACAAAAATTCTTCTAAATGTCTAATTTACAACAGTTGCGGAAAATGAAAGGTAAATTTAGCATATATAAAAGGAGAAGTATGCATCTTTTCATTAAATCACATTTAACTCATGCTTTAAATAAACAATAATTATGCCTAATAGTGCGGCCACAGACCTGCTCTGTGTAATTGCAATGCGGTATGAATCAGGAGAATTGACAGTTTCCATAGAAGGTATTCTATCCAGAGATCCATCACTAAACAAATATTATCTAATCTACAAGCCATTGTGACATACTGTAATGCCTTCTACTATATGTATAAATCCAATATTACGCTAAATATACAAAATATGATGATGTGCAAGTATGACTTCAAATGTATGTCGTTACTATAATCTTTGTAGTGTTATTAACAATTATAATATAAAAGAATGATTACCGAGATCCTTTTAAAAGTGTATGATAAGAACCAGCTGGTTGCCAAATCTGACTCGCACCTAGCCGCAAACCTACATTGTATTCTGTTTTTTCCTATTAAAAACAAAAACATTTTAGAAAAAAAATAATCTATAAACATGCTGTACAAACCTTCAGTATTTTTTTCTCTTTATTCAATACTTTTAGAACATATCTATAATCCTTAGAGTGTCCATTAAGGAATCTGGTACATGAGATCAAAATGCTGTTAAGGAAGATACGAATAAACTTAAGCATATTTAATAGTTTTCGTTCAAAAGTTGTTTGTTCTGAAAAGTAAAATGTTAGGTAATTAATTGAAAGGTAAAATATTCATATAAAATTATTTACCCCCTTCTTCCATCTTTGTCGGTTCACTCATATCATCTTCTTCTTTGCTACTGCCTGGCTGAGGTTCTTTATCTGGTTTGTCTTTATCGTGTCTCTTTCCATCAGAAAACGATACTTGAGGTGGGTCAATCTTAAAATAAACATTATCAATAAACAAAATCAGCGAAATGTTAGAAGTGAAAATTAGTCATTTATATTAACGGAAGACAACAAAAGCTCCTTTGGTTTTGTAGATTTTCGATTTCATTTAAATCAACATTTAGAGCAATATATACATATAATAGATATATACAAGAAAAGNTTTTCTCTCTAGTTTACTTACTACAAAATGTGACCATACTGCATCAGTATTAATTTATTTTAACGTTACCAGCTTAAGTTTTAAAATTGCAAATTAAATCTATGGGAAATATTTAAATTGGTCATACAGTAGCGTAATCACTACCTTGCTTCTTGCTTGGCTTGATATATTTCATACCTAATTTTAATCACAACACTAATATAATATTATTTAACATTAGTCGTAATTGAAAATAGTTTTAAAAAGAATTTTGATTTTTATTTTTCAATTTATTTCTGGCCCACAATTTCGTAAATTGTAGTTCAGTTTCAAAGGTGAGACACAGCTTGTTTATTTCCACTTAGTACTTTTCGTAAAAGTTAGTCAAACCGCTATTACTGATGAGAAAGTCGTAAATAAAAGCAATGAAAAAGTGACAATGTTGATGATAAGAACTTCGTTTCGACCAATACAATATTCTATTAATTTTTCTAAATTTTTGATCTGCCAAAAATATTTTCTACAGAAAATTTACTCAGTGATTCAGTCTAATAGATAAATAATCTACACAACTAACTCTTTTCATTTTTCTTTTTATGTTAGAATTTAATGAATAAGGGTAATATTACTACTCATTATAAAGAATAATAAAAGATCTTCCCGTTTGTCCTAGGTAAAAGGAATCACATTACGAGCACTCGAGCATATAAATAGACTACGGTTTGGACCTAGCCGGATAAAATGGTAAAAATCGCCCTCAACGGAATCATAATTAAAAAATACATCTTTTGGATTACGACAATTTTCCCTATTTTATTCGGCTTTTGAATTAAAAAATATGTTGCTTAGTTACATTATATGCGGACAAAATATGAACGACTTTCTTTTAGAAATATCATCGAAGTACGTCAGAGATAAATATGCATATCTACATAAAAAGATGTAGTATTACTTTTATTTATCGTTAAGATGAATTATTAAGGAGTAATAGTCAAATCAATCTAATATAAATTTTTTGCTTGAAGTATTTGCGTATGTAAATAAGGAAAGACGCTTCGAAGTAGAAAAAATAGACTTTAAATAAATTGAAATCTTGTAATTTAAAGGCACAAAGATTGAATTAATAATTCTAAATTACTATTCGTTGGTTTTCTTGCGTTGATTTTTTTTATAGCATTCAATTAATTTAGTGTAAGAAGTAGACACACAGCCATTTGTAACGGTACGCACATTTTTTCATTCTTCACTAAATAGTGTAAAACAAAGTCGCTTTCCCGCTGTCTGTCCCTATGTATGCTTAAATCTTTAAAACTACGCAACGGATTTTGATGCGGTTTCTTTTAAAAGATAGAGTGATTCAAGAGGAAGGTTTATATGTACAATACATACATAATATAGTAGGGAAACACTGATAATTTTAGAGGTTTCTAATGTAATGTCGTAAATAAACACATTTTTTGCGCTTACATTGCAAACCTGGCTGAACCCTACGCGATAGATCAAAATAATTACTACAATATTGTACATCTTAAAGGAGTCTACAAAAAAGACCGGGATGGTATATGTCTATCTCTTAGGGATAACCCACAATAACCAGTTTTATCCTTTAGTGTTTATGAGAAATAATGACTTATTTACGAAGCGATTGTAGGCAATACAGCATTAATGTAGAGAGAAAAATGTAAATATGCAGTAGTAGTAGCAACACTATCTTACTGTTTTCTATATCACTTTTTTAAAATGTAGTTATATTTAATTTTAATACATTTTTCCACGCTTTTCAAAAAAAATTCCTTTTCCATATCGTGTTTCTACACATTTTATATATATAGTAAGGGGTAGTTCAGAAGTTGCAATAATGTAGAAAAATTATTATTGACAAAGAGCGAATTTTAATTCATTATAAATGCGCCATCAAAAAATTTGAAACTGTTGAAAAAAACAATAATTAAAACTTTTCTAGTTCTAGACATAGCATTTTTGTCGCTGATGTTTTTACTAAAGTTTTCACGTTAAAACAGTAATTACAACATAAAAAATAAGAGATTTAGCATATATCGCCCTTGTAAAAGTTAACTATGAATTTATTAGAATAATCTAAAAACGGTTATTCATATTAAAATAGAGAAGTATGATATACATCCGGCAAAACTGGAAATGCCTCAGTTGTATGCTGTCAATAAATACGCCTCTTGAGCATGTTACCAAGTTTTAAACAAATACCACTTTTTGTTCTGTTTCAACTTCTAATGAACGGTTTAGATTAATTACCCTGCTCATTGTTTTATATATTAATGTAAACATCAAAATTTGGTCTTTTTCAGGAAATAATGCTTTTCTTATAAAGATAATTAGATTAACTAGAAGAAAATAAAATAGGAAGCCTCTTCATTTATAGAGACAACAATTTTTAGTCGTCAAAAATGATTGCTCTTTTCTCTCTAGTTTACTTACTACAAAATGTGACCATACTGCATCAGTATTAATTTATTTTAACGTTACCAGCTTAAGTTTTAAAATTGCAAATTAAATCTATGGGAAATATTTAAATTGGTCATACAGTAGCGTAATCACTACCTTGCTTCTTGCTTGGCTTGATATATTTCATACCTAATTTTAATCACAACACTAATATAATNATTATAAACCTAACCTACAATTCTCAGGTGTATTTTATACACTATGTCTGATCAGTACTCGGAAAAAATTTAAGGGAGAAGAAGGTATATGAAAAAGAAAATGAGCCATATTACATCACCCAGTAATATACATAAACGTGACTATACCGAAAGCCCCAATTTCTCCGGTAATGATGACCAGGATTACCTGCGAACGCGAGTATGGGTAAAGAAGGAATGCACTGCCGGTTATTTCATACAGAAACGGTAATGGTACAATTCGCAAAAAATAACGGTACATATAGGTGGGTGTGGTGTGTCGAACACGGTCATAGGAATGGAATATTTGAATAATGGTACGAATGCAGGGAATTCTCCCTTAAAATCCTCCACATCGTATCACCTGTTTGTTGTGCAATTACTAGGATATTCAAACCGGAATTGCCTTCTATTAATCGCAAAACGATTTCGTCAGTATCGACCTAAGGTTGTCTTAACGCACTTAGTGTGGTACCACACCACTAGTGTAATGCCGACAGTACATTCTGTGTGCAAATACTTTCTTTTTTTATTTAATATTCTCAAAATAAACTTATTTTTGTATTTTGTGGTAATAGCAGTAACTTTGCCAATCGAATGGTAACTATGAAGTGCAGACTATTATTAATCGTCATTACATGCAATTGACCTTTCTGCGTACCAGCTGCTGCGAGGGTTACGAGTAGGTACGTATGTTTCGTCACTTGACGTTTGCAAAAACAAAGGGCGATAAGTTAACGCTGCCGCCAACCTGGTGAGTGTTCTCAATCATTGGCGGCTCATTAACTAAGGTACTTTTTGTACATAGCTTTTATACCTACCCTCTATGTCGTGGCGCTTTCACGAGATTCACTCTAGTGCCACCAGATGTTACTATTCAAATATTCCGGAATACTGACCAGACATAGCACATATTATAGAACTTTTTATATTCCTATAAATGCTGTTTCCATTATAAGAGATAAAAATCCCTTTTTATTTTTTCCTACTGTAAGTCATTTCATTTGCTAGTTATATTAAATGCTTCCAGGGGTATCTTAATACTGGTATGCCTATGCTTACTTTTTTCTGTAGTTAAAATGTAGACCAATTAAGTACCTCCCAAAGATTTATAAGTTCGTTTTGAAACTTTGCTGGCAAAATTAAAATAAATTTACTTTATCATTACTTTTTTTGCTATAATTTTGTCGTAGACTCACTGTAGGAGGAGCAGATAAGGGCGCAGAATATTGAGAACGAGCTGACATAGAAGACCGTTGTCTAGATAATGGCATGCTCGCTCTTCGCATTTTTTTAGAACTTTCCAGAACTGTATTTATATCCGTCTTCATAGTAGAGCTTAATAACTATAATCCAGTAGAATACGATATTTTAAACGAAATATGGTTAACTCGAAAAACAAAACGAAAAGTACCTTTCCTAACGAGAGTCCTTCCTTTTTCTCTAAATCTTCATCGTCTTCTTTAGGCTTCAATTCATCGACTATATCTAATTCTTCGTCATCAATTTCATCAAACATGTAATAATCTCCAGATCTTATAGCTATTGATAAAAAAAGAAAATAAGAAAATCTTATATTAATGGTAAACTAGCAATTAATCAAATAAAACAATTATTAGTGTATATACATATTTTTAGTTTACTATACAATAAAATATGTCAGAAGTAGTTAAATGTTTGCAAAAAGCATAAAAGCTTTGTTAGACGGGATTCAGTAGAATGTACACACTAAAGAAAATTATAAAAATATACACTAGAAATACATACGAGTATAGGTATGTGTACTAAAACGTAATAAACATTTAGATTTATTAAATATTTGGTAATGGTAAATAATGACTTGTAGTTGGTGTTATTTTAAAAATGTTAAATGCTGGATATCCTAAAAGTAAATAACACTGCAAACCAAGCAAATGCTACAGATATCAGATGATGTTAATTTAAACCTTGACAAAGCGATAAAATACCAAATGATTTTACCCGCTTTATATTGATCCGGTATGTGTTTCCTGTAGAGCGGTCTAGCATGTGGATATAAATAATCTACAAAAATGTATAAAACAAAAAAAAAAACTGTACAAAACTGTTTTCAACTGGTGCAAGTTTGATAAATAAGCTGGATATGTATTGCTTGCCTAAAAAACCAAAACAAAAACAGATTGTGCTTTTAGGTCGGTTGAGGATACGATAGAGTTCCGTAGTTGTTTACTAATTTCGACCTAATCACTTAAAAATGAATACAATAAATATTTGCAAGTTTTTTACATTAAATGTAGGTACTAAGTAAAGGAATTGTTTTTACATAAAAATTGGTAAAGGCTTTCGCAGTGGATGAACTGGTGCTATTCTGATTGGGGTCTAAAGGATGCGGAGATGGAAGAACCTCTGAAGTGGTACCGAAACGTTAGGATGCAACTTCAACATAGGACGGCATTTAGACCTGAATCAGAACAGCATCAGTTTTTTTTTACATTTTTGCAACGATGGTTTAGTAAGATAAATGTTAAAATACATATGTACATATTTCTTTGTTGTTTATAAAACAGAGACATATTGTATGGAAACATTTACTTAAATAGCTATAGGAAAAGATGTAAGTAATATTTCAAAGAAGACAATTCCCAAAACATGATACGCGAAATTGTGGGGAACGTTGACCCCTCTCATATGACAGTGTTGCAAATTTTAAAGCCACAGTTGCTGCATCCTTATTATTTGCAGCAAATGGAAACCTTGCTTGAAACTGATTTGCAGCCGCGAGTGGATTTGTTTCGAAAGTAAAGCGTTACATAGCCTAATTTTTTCCATATTAGGATGTTCTTTACAGGCAAATTTGCTTCACGCGGAACGGAATTTTGAATTTTCAGCATAGTCACTATTGGTGCGACACAAATTCGCATGCAATTTCAGGAATTTCGGTAAATGTGTGATGCGAAATGACTTTTTTACAACCACCCGCATGAAAAGGTAACGAGCTTAGAAAATATACTGATGGTTATGTAACTTACATTTTTTTTTGTGTTAGTTCATTTACATAGTGCTGCATGTAATGTACTTATTTAATTTTATTAGCCTATACATTATAAGTACATTATAGTACTAAATTGTTTATGTTTATCCTAGACGTTCGATGTCGGTATATTTACATTCTCCGTATATGCAGTTGCAGAATTTTTATCGTAAAGGATAAATAGTGCAATCGTTTGTTACTATTTGGTAGACACCTACGTTGCCGATTCACAACTCAATGGAGTAGCAGAAAGATACAATAGAACGATTATGGATGGAGCTTGATGTCTTATTTCAGAAGCTAAATTGAATAAGAAATACTGGCCTGAATGTATCTAGATAAATACTTATATTGGAAGTAGGGTACCCATTATCAAATACAAAACTCAAGGAAACGCCGTATGAAATTTTCTTGAACAAAAAGCCTAATGTATCCAACTTACGTTTGTCTGGATGTATAGGTTATGTGAGGGTTCCAGAAGAAATTAACTATTCAAAATTACGTGCAAAAGCCGTAAGAGTTTTTCATTGGATATACAGACACAGGATAAGAAATATTATTTGATAAACAAATAGTCTATAGTCGGAATGTACAATTTATTGAAGAAGACATAAAACATATTGGATTTAGAGATGACTACATTATCGAAAATGAAATGAAGGGGGTTACTCCAAACCAAAGTCAATCAAATGAAGATGAAAATCCTCCTAGAAGATCTCACATTCTTATCTATTTGCGAACAGTACCTAATCTAATCTAGGTCTACCTCTACTCCTTTTAACTCCTGTTTCTGCTTCTAATATGACTCTGACTAGAGCTTCATGCCTGAAGTGGCCTACTTCCTTTGAATCCTTTGTTCTCTTATTCTTTCTAATACCTCTTCATTTATAACCTTCTCTATCCATGATATCCTCATCATTCAGTTGTAACACATTTCGAAGGCTTCTAACCTCTTTTTTTTCCCACGCCCACCGTCCATTTTTCGCAACCGTACAGCGCCGCGTTCCAAACATCCAAATTTCTAAATTAACCGTTAGCGAGCATAGAACTGACTCGGCCCTGCACTATCCTTTCCTTTATATCCCTACTACTCCTTCCGTCCTGACTTATCTGACTTC